TGCCATCGGATATCAATTTGTAGTGCGTGTGCATACCGACATGATGCGACCTGAACGAACTAGGAATGAGATAGACGTACCTGGACTGTTTATGAACGAAGTGGCTAATTATTTTTGACATATTTCCCGACCGCAGCCCAGACTTAGCCCGTTTAACGGATTTTTCGTAGGCTGGAAAGAACGGTTGAGAACTAGTTTGAACTAGTGTGATTGGAGCCTTAGTGCGATCTGAGAGATTCTAGGATCAAAATATATGGTTTATTTTTTCAAAAATTGAACTTTTAGGCTTTTTAGCGCATTCTGGGCGATTCTAATGCGTTCTGATCGTTCCAGGGATCAAGATATATGATTTATTAAAAACCAGGGGCCTGCTCCCCTGAAAAAGTTAAGAATTTTGGGCTGATTTAATGCGTTCTGGGCAATTCGAGAATCAAAATATTTAGGCTTATTTGGCACCTTCTGATCGAGCGATTAAAGGATCAAAATATGTGATTCATTTCCAAATCATTTAGTTTTTAGGCTTATTTGACACGTTCTGAGCGATTCTAGGATCAAAATATATGATTTATTAAAAACCAGGGGCCTGCTCCCCTGAAAAAGTTAAGAATTTTGGGCTGATTTAATGCGTTCTGGGCAATTCGAGAATCAAAATATTTAGGCTTATTTGGCACCTTCTGATCGAGCGATTAAAGGATCAAAATATGTGATTCATTTCCAAATCATTTAGTTGCCTCGCTATTCTGGTCAATTTAGAATTTTATAAAAAGAAAGTGCCAATCACATCAAAATACACCGTACATATGTCACCAAATGTTACCTTCTACCTCGAAATGTTCTTCAAGAAAGCAAAAAAGGTAGGTCCACATTATTTTAGGAGATATCTGGGGGGGGGTCGCACGAGCCCCCCGAGCCCCCCTGGCTCCGGGCCTGCCTCCTTTCTTACAGTGTGATGCGCGATGCCACGAGTGAGCAAACGATCTTTGAGCGATGCCCGGGGATGGATTCTCCCCCGAAGAAAATGAAATTACAGTTGATGCTTTCTGGGACGTTTTAAAATACGAAATTCCGCTATGGACTAATAAAATGTAAAATATATTGGCCCTTTTTATCTATTTTTAAAATGGGGGAAATTCATGTTGTTTTATGCATATATGACGCTACGCCATTAAAATTGTATCTGTAGAAAACGTTTCATTGAATTCAAATATGGTATTCAAAAGACGGAAAGGTAAGACACTGGGGGTGTAATATATGAATCTCTTAAAATCCCACGAAAAATCAGAATTAGCGAGATTCCATTTGCTTTATAGAAACTCCTCTATTATCTTATTATGTGCCAATCGGAATCACCTCGTATCATCTTCTAAATATCACTATATGTATCTATAGTATAGATCCATAGTTGTCCGCTCCAAATTATCATTGTCTCTATGAGATGCATAGTTGAAATTATATCCAAATTATCACTGTATTCCTGTATGTCTACGAGATCCATAGTTATTAGGCTCCAATGATCACTGAATATATCTACTATGAGATTCATGTAAGCTCCTGTATGGATCTATGATATCCATATAGTTATCAACTTCCAATGATCGGTAGTGAACTATAATATGCTTGTTCCACATGAGCAACTTATGTACTGGTTAAAACTACTGATATTGTAACCAAGCACTAGGTGGCAGCACCAGATAAAATACCAGATCGTTCATTACTGCATGCCGTTTGCTCATTAAACAGATAACAGCAAGAAACACGATCGAGTGATCCCAAATTTGTAAACACAAAATTGAAAAGGGATCCAATGCCAAATATTTTTATGGATAATTCAGTGATCCAAGAAGTAGCTGAAACAATGGGCCGCATGCGCATTCTTACAAATGAGCAGAACTTGGGCCTGGCCTCCTCGGAACTAAATCGACGCCTGAAAAGGATCAGGTCAGGTCATCGATCAGGTGGATGAATAAAAGGCTCTTCTATATTTATTTGATAGTACAGATCAACATTCTCTTTGGAAAGAGATTTGAAAGATAGGGATAACAAATGAACGCGATTTTGATACAATATTGACAAACATGGTTCCTTATAACGATCGAATCTGATGCACTTAACATTTGGAGAATGATTTTGCCAGTATGTATCAGTCGGATCCAAATTAAAATTTGATGATCAACATCGGGATAAGTTTGCCGACATCAAGCCCTTGTGCCGAGCGCGCGGACCCGGAATTGAACGAAGGAATAACACTTGATGAAGTGCATAGTGTGTTTCGGGCAAAAGTACGCAAAGCCATATGGGAGTGGATGACCACTCTAACTCGCTCTTGCACAAGATATGCTCATATTGCTTTGATTCCGGCACGACCACAACGGAATGGAATAAAGGTAAGTATTATAACCGTACCAATCCCCAAATCAGGCGATCCCTCAATAATCGAAGTAATTATCCCCAGCAAGATATACTGCGGTTTTCTAAATATAAACTGAATAAATGGCTCATGCGATCCATAATTGTCAGCTTCAAAATATCACATGTTCAAGATCCAGTCAGCTCCAAATTATCACTTTATCTCTATAAGACCCAAAGTTGTCAGCTTCAAATTATCACGTAGCTGATGACAAAAACACCACACTAGGTATTATTGCAATTAGAATATGTGTGGATTATAAACACTACGATTGTGGACGATTGGACTTTATCCTCAGCTTCCAATGATCACTTTGTATAAATATATCTATGAGATCCATTTCAGGTTCTGTATGTGTCTATGCGATCCATATTTATCAGTTCCCAATTATCACTGTATCTCTATGACACCCAAAGTTGTCAGCTTCAAATGATCACATAGCTGATGAAAAAACATCGCACTGGGTATTATGGCAATTAGGATCGATATGAGTGGTTTATAAACACTACGATTGTTTATCTACATCACACTGGTATAAAGAGAGAGGGCAGGGTCTTAAAGTAAGACTACCTACAAACCTTTTAAATCTAGAAATTGTTTGGCCTTTCCAGTCATTATACGGTATATCATCCAAAATGGTCAGAGCCCTGAGAATGGTCGATTTCTTGAAATAATTGCCAATTGGAGAGAATATTCTATGATGCCTTCCTGGTTGTCTCAGGAACCGATTTTGAATATTCTCGTTAGAGCTTACTAAATCAAAAATGAATGGGGGAAACAATCATATATTGCCACGAGTGAGCGAAGCGAACAAGCTTTGGGAGGGGGGGGGGTTTCTCCATAAGAAAATGAAAATGAGATTGCATGTGAGGTGCTCGGGACCGTTTTAAAATACGAAATTCCAACTACGTATGCACTTAGTCTAGTAAAATTGCTATTATCAATTTTTAAAGTGTGCAATTCAATATGAAATCAACTTTTCTCTAAATTATGAGAGTACGTCATGGCGTTTTATTTACTTAACATTTTAGATGATGTTTTTAGAAGTCTCATGAGAGAGGTTATATTATCTTTGAGTTGGTCAACACGTGGATTCAAAGTTATATAAATTTTGATCATGCACCAAGCCCACAAAGTTTGTGTTTGGTACATCTAGCTATCACATCTGCTCCTAGTTTCAAAAGAGCTGGCTTTTAGACTTCGGACAGACATCTCTGACCACTCCACATGCAGGCGATATCCACATGTGTTGATAGCCTGAGGAATTTGTGTTTGCTTTTATTTTTTAAAACTTCTTTTATTTAATTTCTTGGCCACTTTCAGAAATATTACCCAGGCAATAGCATCTATTGATTCAGGTGATAAGATAATACTTCATTATAGTAAGGTAACTATTACCAACGCAAACAAAAACTGTATTATAACACATAAAACAAACGATTTGTCCATTTTTTTGTTTATTGTTTTAAAATAACATACAGAAAACCACATATTTACAGTTGTTCTTTTAATTGAAATATTTGAAAACTCTTTCATTTAGTACTGGATTCAAAATACATTTACTTTAGATTCAAAATACATTTGCTTTTACTGTACATTATATGACTATCTAACTAAATGCAATAACTGAACACAATTTTTTGAAAATATCAAGAAATAGAACAAATGGACCTTGGACACTGAATGTCGTGTGTCATGATACTTCATGTATATCAACATGAAATATCTAACGGTGAAATTATTAACATACATGTAGTCTAAGTATGAAGAAAACACATGTTAAGTTAAATTTAGAATTGTTACACATAGCAGCAAATGTTGTTTTTTAATTATAACTTACATATTGCGCAACATGTCAAATGATGTTATGTTACATACAGTCCAACATATAGCCACAAGAAAACCTGACCAATGAGGCACTTGATTTGTACGATTTCCTTTTGCATCTTTTTAAACGGTTTTTCCTAGGGTCGCAGGGTTCGGGCGAACCCTCCCCCCCCCCCGGCCAAAAATTCTTTCAAAATCATGCAGTTTTTCAGCACTTTGAGCACTTCTCGAGTGATTTTACACACTACCCTACCACGTGACCACATTTAAAAATGATACAGGGTACGGTTAAGTTGCAAATGGAGCGGGTATTCTCTATCTTTGTCCATTGGGCTTTTCTGGTAATAATACGTTGCAAACTGCTCGATGAATCTATACAATGTATAGTAGAACGCTTAGAATATGTGTAAAATCTAGTATACATTCAGAACTATGGAAATAAACAAACGTCCTCCATTTGCAACTTCCCTGTAGCCTGTACTTCTTTTAAAGGAATACAGGATACAGTATGGGGGTATAGTAGTGTGTTTTAGCCATATTTGGGCCAAAATTGTCAAATGTGAACCCCCCTGGAAATTTTTGAAAACTGAACCCTCCTTGACAAATCTTGGCTACGGGCCTGTAAAAAGTTATAGTTCCACTTGAGACTAACAAATCAGTCATGACTTTTATTATTTTACACCATAGTACAGTGTATATGTAATAAAAGATAGCGCAGTAGCATAAATCAACATCATAATGGAAAATAATAACCCCTAATCATATTTATGTACTGTACTGTATATATATATATATATTTACAAAAGGAATTGAATTGAATTGAATCGACATCTCTCTTAATTAAGTTATACAGATTGAATCTTTGAATTGTATCATCTCCTTTATACTACACCAAACTCTGAAACTATGACTTTCATATTGTAAATATATAATGTATTTAGACTACATGACAGGACTGCATCACTATCTTTGTAGGCATTTGTTAGAATATTGGCAGCCACTTTTGAAGGCACTGGGTTATTATATAGTCAAAGCCTTTTGTTAGGCTGCAGGCGTTACGTTATATTTTAACTTAATTTATTACTCTGCATAGTCAAGGCTTTTATATATTTTATAACTATACAAAGTCAAGGTTGTTATAGTGTTTAGGAAATGGGTTGTTAAGGACAGGCTCCTATGTTAGTCTATAGGCTTTAGGTTATTATTATAAGCAATACCTTTGTTAGTCTGTAGGCTCCTAGTGTTATTACACATCTATACAGAATGCTACTAAAAGAATGACTATTCTCAATTACAAGGTTATAGTCTGACCTTGTGTACATCACTATGTGTTTTAAGACTATGCAATTTTTAAGTCCATGAGCAAAGTATTGCGTTTGTTAATTGGCAGTCTGTTAATGTTTTAGTATACATATAGCAAGCACAGCAACAGTGGTCTAAGGCTGAAAGAGAAAATAAAAGTGTTATTGATATAAACTACTAGATACATATTGAGAGAAATTAGTAGTGTTTACAGGCATGTGTACATGTACATTGATAGACCATTAGCATGTAATATAATTTATGTAATGTAACTATTACATGTTACAGATTTTTACAAATTGCTTTTAGAAAAATCATTTTTTATTTTTTCCAATAAGGTTTATTTACTTAAAATATTCGCATGTTGATTAAAACATCTTTTAATTTCAACTACTATTAGTCTCAACTACTAGTATCTATTTTCCAAGTATAAATCCAAAGTACAGTCTAGAACCAAGGAAATTCTGTAACCTCGGCCAATATATAACTTTGTAATTTATAAACGATTATATACGATTGTATACAGTTAAAATCATGTCACATTTAATAGTCATTGATTTATTGTTTAGGGTGCTAATTGCAAAAATATTGTCAATGGGATGGGATAAATCAACAATCTACTTTAGTTTCTTCAATTCATAAAGAGAAAGAGGTGAGAGAAGAGAGGAAAGAGGGGGTTGATTGGAACAGCCTTTGGCCAAGGTTTCTTTAGGCTTGGTTCTAGACTCTGCCATTGTGCCATCAATAATACATTTAAAAGTAACTTGAAGAAGTAGATCCATACATGTCCTGTTTGGACATAATTACCTTGTCGTCTTTGTCATCTTCATTGTGTTTGTTTGCTTTGGGAGTGGTAGGTCCCCCTGGGGCGCCCGGAGAGCCTGGAGGCTTGTCCCCATGGTGTTTGTGTAATTTAGGGTGGCGGGCAGGCTCCACTGGTGCTTTAGAAATTTTTTCCATATGACGTTTTCTGTAAGTATCACAAGAAGTTCAGTCTTTGTATTAATTATTTTAAAAACATATCATAGGGTAAGGACATTGTTAAGTTGGCGACAAAAGAAAAAAGTATCATTAACACAATAAAGGTATCTTATACTAGGGTTGTATGAAGTATTTTCAGTCCAAAAGACCTTTGCTAATTGCCCAAGCATGATGCAACGGAGGGTGTTTCTCATTTTATTTGACGGTGTATGGTGTATTTTAATTTTGAAGGGTGGGGGTGTGTGGTTTCAAGTTGGTATAAGGGGTTATGCGATGGAAGAGACTGAGGCAAACATGGGAGATGAATGATGGAATGTAAACATTGAAAACACATATATGACAATGCTGGTGTCATATCACAAAGTCATACATTGATGTACCGAGTCAAAGTTGATGAAGTCCAATATGTACGTTTGTACACTATGTACACTATTGACTACTTTTTAGACAACCCCCGTATATAAAACTAATTGACGGATGGGACACCCCAGGGGACCTTAGTAATGTACAGTGGTCTGTTGCCAAGATGCAGGCTGTGTTGGGTGCCTAGGACGATTGCTACGGACACATATCAGCTGCACAGGGTCATTCTTATCATCTTCCGGCGATGCATCTCCATAGCAACAACAGCAGAAACTGCTGATGAAAATGATGAAAAATGATTACATGCTTTGAGAGGAATGAAAAAATACATACAATTACATATATGATCTCATGAAATATTAATCCATGCACTTTTAAAATGACACCACCATAGGAGGTTATAAACAAATCCACCAAAAGTTATCGTACAAGGTGTTCACCATGCATACACAGTATTTAAAATGCTGTTAAAAGCATATAGATATAGGGCATAAGACTTCAACACAATTTTACTTTCGTGTGAGGTTTACATATAGATTTTCTTATAGAACGAGCCTATCACATTTCTTCAGGTACTCACATGTGTTAGTTTTTTGTAAATTGTAATTTACAAAATGTTTTTAAGTTTTATTTTTAAAGAAATAATGCAATTTTGTTTTTAAAGCATCCACTAATCACAGAGTAAATGATCTTACCTTCTGAATCTAATTAAGAGTACAATGAGTACAACAAGGACGATGAAGCCAATCACAGCAGCAATGATGATTCCAACTATAATCAAAAATAAGAACATACAACTAAAAGTAACAAGTACAGTAGCCTCCTCTATCGACTGAAATAGCTCAGACTCTTTTAGCAAAAACTGAACAATTTATGTCTCCCCTAAAGTGTGACAGCATCAGTACTTCTTTTGGAACATATATACGAGGCTGTTTATGTTTGGCGATTTTATAAGAAAGGTTATCATCTTGAACCTTTTGAATGGGAAACCGAACCGAAGGAGAAGTTAACAGCCTTTGGGATATGAGTTGATCAGGCAAAATAAGTATAAGTTCTCAATTTAAGTTTATTTACATCAATGCTTCACCAATTTTTACCTAGAGATGTGTTATCATTGGTTGGGTCGCTTGGACCTAGGTATGTACCCTCAGAAGAGCTGCCAGGCTTGGGTGTTGTGGTTGGCGCTTCTGTTGTTGTTGTCGTAGTAGTTGGCACCCAATTAGTTGGCCCACAAAATACCTCAATGTTACTGTCAGCTACAATATTGACATATTGATCGAAAGAATAATTATTAAGGTCAGGAAATGTTATAGCTCGTTGGTATAGGTACATGGTTGAAATTCTAAGTTGGCCTACAAAATACCCAAATGTTACTGGCAGCCACTACAGACATTTTGATGACAAGAATAATCATGAAGGTCGTGAAATGAAATGTTATACGTCGTTGGTGTAGGTACATGGTTGAATGAGTTGGGATACATCTTCTATCCACACACGTCATATTTACCTTCGTATTGTAGCCAAAAACCTTTATCTTCTTTCCAGTTATCAGATATAAAGTGAACTTCTACAGTGTTGCTGTATGTTGTGTAGTTATACATTCTTGGTAGTTTTCCACACCTGGTAATAGCCTGCCCACCATCCATTATTTTCACCTAAGAACGATAAACTATTGTACGAACATACAGAAAACATTTTGGATGCTGGGATTTCCTTTTTGTGAACACTGTTGGCTGTTTCCTTTCTATATAATCTGTTTCAATACTTTTGATCATTACTCTTATGACACTTGTGCTTGTGCTGGCATATTTTATGTGGCGATATTTTATATGAAATTGTCAATATTTTCCAGAGAATATATGACTCAATTTCGTCATTACTAAAAATATCCTATCAAGAATTTTAATGACTCACCTTGTCTTTTGTACAACTGTGACTCCACTCTAGAGCAGAATCGGGAAACTTGAACTTTAGTTTCTTCCCTGGGGCTGTAGTCATATTACAGTGACAGTCCTGGTCAGACGTATAGGAGTCTGGGTAATTTGGTGTTGACAGGAAGCCACGTTTTAATCCGAATCGTCCATCCCTCACACAAATATTCTGGGTATTTATTTCTGCAAACAAAACAAATAAATAGAAAAAGATCCAACTTGGCACCACTTACTTAAATACAGTATTTCAAAGAAAAAATATTATTAGTAATTATTTTGCACTACCTTTGTTATTGAATGAATTTTGGCGTATATTCTGCTTTGACCTTTGAGGAATAAAAAGTTTTAACTTCTTTGAACTAAAGCGTCTAATTTTCATGTTTAATTGCTGTTTAACTTTAGTCCCCTCCGTTTCATCAACCCCTACACCAAGGGGTGATTGGTGGAGTAAGTTCGGTTTTGATATATTCCATTCAGCATGTTCAATTTCTTGTACATTAGCTTGTTCAACTTTGTCGAGATCCATCTTTCTTATCTCTGTTTGAGATGTTATCAGACGTGACCTCTTTGTTTTTCTTCTTTGCCATAATGGTCCTCTTATTATTGGTATTTTATGGATATCGTTCATTTTCCTTTGCATTAGATTCAACCCTTGAATATTGATTTAAGTCAGTCTTGTTTCACAAATGTATGCCCACTTTCTTTTAAATGTTTGTTCACTGCAGCTTAATCGTGTACGTATAACAAGCTACATAAATCAAAATATAAATTTGGTTCCAATTTATAGCGTGTGCCCACATTTAACTAGACATGTAAATTGAACAAGTTCAATTTAAGACTCCAGATTTCAAACTTTGTTTAAGCTGAGTCATCCAGAACTTGTAAGCCGAGTCATTCAGAATAAGCTGAGTCAGCTAGAATATAGACATTTAGACAACTTTTAAGAAGGCTATCTTCGACTCTATTAGCTTAACATGGGGATATCATCATATCGACTTTTCGAGACTTCAAACCGCTATAACTATCTAACCAGAAGTTAGATCGAAATTTGGTTTAAAGATTCTGATTCCTGAGAAAATTCTACCCTTAATTCATAACTCATACGTTAAACTTGGAGAATTTTTTATTTTGACCTACATTTCGGACACCATATCTCAAAAGTGGGTCAAAAAACTTTCTGACGGCAGAAGGCTAACACTATAAGCACACTCTTTGCTACCTGTATACAAAATTTTGAAGCAAATCCTTAAAGTGTAATGTCAGAATGGCAAAAATAAGGAAAAACTATGAATTTGACCTAGATTTTGACCAAGGCATTTTTGCGTCCAAATTTTAAAGCTAGATAGCCTTCGAGGTCCCCTCCTTTTATAGGCTTTCAGAATATTAAGCTGTACTCAGTCTATGTCTGGTATTTTACACTTCAAAAAATCCTTTTTCTCATTGACATAATATGGGGCACCAAATTTAGCTTTCAAAACGCCATAACTTTCGAACCGGAAGTCGGATCGAAATTTGATTTGCAGATTCGGATTCCTGACAAAATTCTACCCCTAATTTATAACCCATACGTTAAATTTGGAAATTTTTTATTTTGACCTACTTTTTGGACACGCCATAAGTTCCGAACCGGAAGTCGGATTGAAATTTGGTTTGCAGATTCGGATTCCTGAGAAAATTCTACCTCTAATTCATAACTCAAACGTTGAATCTGGAGAACTTGTTATTTTGACCTACTTTTCGGACACCATATCTCAAAAGTGGGTCAAAATACTTTCTGACGGCAAAAGGCTAACACTATTAGCACACTCTTTGCTACCTGTATACAAAATTTTGAAGCAAATTATTAAAGTGTAGTGTCAGAATCGTAAAAATAAGGAAAAACTATGAATTTGACCTAGATTTTGACCTAGGCATTTTGGTGTCCAAATTTTGAAGCTATTTAGCTTTTGAGGTCCCCTTCTTTTATAACCATTCATTATGTTAAGCTGTACTCAGTCTATATCCTGTATTTTACACTTCGAAACAGTCTTTTATCCCATTGACTTAACATAGGCACCAAATTTAGCGATTTTTGAGCTTTCAAAACGCCATAACTTCCGAAATAGAAGTCCGATCTAAATTTGGTTTGCAGATTTGGATTCCTGAGAAAATTCTACATCTTTTTCATAGCTCACACATTCGATTTGGAGCATGTTTAGGCGTGACCTACATTTCGGACGCCATATCTCAAAATCGGTAAGAGTAATCAAAATTCTGATGTCATATCTTTGATTCGCCTTTTTCTAAGCTACACGATGAAAAAAAGATGAAGGCGTTACGAAGAGTATTGACGAAGATATGATGAAGAATGTTGAAAATGTAAGATTTGACCTAGTTCTTGACCTTTGACCTAGATAAAAATTTGACCTAATTTCCTAGAAAGCCGGTTTCAGTCTTTAGTTAACCATGTAAGTTGGATTAAGTAAGCTGTTATAGTTGACGAGAAATTTGGTGAGGAGGAAGAAAAAAGAAAGAAAAATAATAATAATAATAACTAGATTTGTGAAATTGAACAAGTTCAATTTAAGACTCCAGATTTATTTTACCTAGATAGATCAGTAAAGAGCTGAGTAAGTAACTGAGTAATTAGCTGAGTAAGTACCTTAGTAGTAGTTGAGTAAGTAGCTGAGTAAGTAACTGAGTAAAAAGCTGAGTAGGTAGCTGAGTAAGTAGCTGAGTAAGTACCTGAGTTAGTAGCTGAGTAAGTTGCTAAGTAAGTAATAACTAATTAAGTAATTGAGTAAGTAGTCAAATAAGTAGCTGAGTAGGTAGAGAGGTAAAGTAGGGTATGCAGGAATTTTTGAAAGTATATTTGATCAATCTGCATCGTGAATACTGGCAAGTGCGAATTTCAAACTTCAAAATGGCGTAGAATCTAAACCTGGGGTCGGATTGCAATTTTTGCTACAAGTATACAAAATTTCGGAGAATATCATTGAAGTGTAGTGTCAGAATCGCAAAATAAGAAAAAACTATGAATTTGACCTAGATTTTTTAAACTAGGTATTTTGGTGTCCAAACTTTGAAGGAAAGTAGCTTTTGAGGTCCCCTTCTTCTATGGGCTTTCATTATGTTTAGCTGTACTCATTCTATATCTCGTATTTTTACACTTCAAAAAATTATTCGGTCCCATTGATTTAACATGGGGCACCAAATTTAGCGATTTTTGAGATCTCAAAACGCCATAACTTCAGAACAAGTAGTCGGATCGAAATTTGTTTTGCAGATCTAGATTTCTGAGAAAATTCTACCCTTAATTCATAACTCATACGTTAATTTTGGAAAACTTTTTACTTTGGCCTACTTTTTGGACACCATATCTCAAAAGTGGGTCAAAATACTTTCTGACGGCAAAACGCTAACACTATAGCATACTCTTTGCTACCTGTATACAAAATTTTAAAGCAAATCATTTAAATATAGTGTCAGAATCGCAAAAATAAGGGAAAACTATAAATTTGACCTAGATTTTGACCTAGGCATTTTGGTGTCCAAATTTTGGAGCTAAGTAGCCTTCGAGGTCCCCTTCTTTAATAGGCTTTCATTAAATTAAGCTGTACTCAGTCTATATCTTGTATTTTACACTTCAAAAAAATATTTTTTCCCATTGCCATAACATGGGGCACCAAATTTAGCGATTTTTGAGCTATCAAAATGACATAAATTCCAAACCAAAAGCCGGATTGAAATTTGGTTTGCAGATTTGGATTCCTGAGAAAATTCTACCCTTAATTCATAACTCATACGTTAAATTTGGAGAACTTTTTAGTTTGACCTACTTTTCGGACACCATATCTCAAAAGTGGGTCAAAATACTTCCTGACGGCAAAAGGCTAACACTATTAGCACACTCTTGGCTACATGTACACAAATTTTCGAAGAATATAATTAATCTGTAGTGTCAGAATCGCAAAAATAAGGAAAAACTTTGAATTTGACCTAGATTTTGACCTAGGCATTTTGGTGTCCAAATTTTTATGAAAAGAAGGTCTTGTGGTCCCTTTCTTTTATGGGCTTCCATTATATTTAGCTGTGCTTAGTCTATATCTCGTATTTTACACTTCAAAAAAATATTTTTTCCCATTGAATTAACATGGGGCACCAAATTTAGCGATTTTTGAATTTTCAAAACGCCATAACTTCTGAACCGGAAGTCAGATCGAAATTTGGTTTTCAGATTCGGAATCCTGAGAAAATTTCCCATAAGACTAATATCCTGGACATTGGATGCGGTGAAATTTTTTTTGGACCTCGTTTTCGGACACTGATATCTCGAAATCGGTTTGAGATACCAAAAAACTAAATCGACCCTAGGTTTTCTACTTTTTTATGAGGAACACAATGAAAAAAACCAGGATCAAAAATATTGAAGGACGACCGAGATAATGGGAAAAAGTGACAAAGTACTGGATTTGACCTAGTTCTTGACCTTTGACCTAGATAAAAATTTGACCTAATTTCCCAGAAAGCCAGATACATTCCCTAGTTAATCATGTAAGCAGCTTAAAGTAAGCTCTTCTAGTTGGTGAGAAATCTGGGAAGGAGGAAGAAGAAGAATAACTAGATTTTGGAAATTGAACGAGTTCAATTTCAGACTCCAGATCTAGACTTTTTTTTAGCCGAGTCATCCAGAATAAGCCAAGTCATCCAAAATAAGCTAAGTCATCCAGCAAAAGATGGATGAATGGATGGATGGATGAAAAAGGAAGGAAGGATAGGATAGAATAGGAAGGAATGATAGGATAGAAAAGGAAAGAAGGATAAAATAGAATAGGAAGAAGGGATAGAATAGGAAGGAGAGGATACGAAGCAATGGTAGATAGGAAGGATAGGATAGGATCAGAAAGGAAGGATGGATGCATTTTTCTATATTTTCTTCTCTACTCTTGACTTTCTATCAGGATACCATCAGATTGATTTTTCTTGAAATTTCAAAACGCCATAACTTCCGAACCGGAAGTCAGATCGAAATTTGATTTGCAGATTCGGATTCCTGACAAAATTCTACCCCTAATTCATAACTCATACGTTAAATTTGGCGAATTTTTATTTTGACCTACTTTTCGGACACGCCATTACTTTTGAACCGGAAGTCGAATCGAAATTTGGTTTGCAGATTTGGATTTCTGAGAAAATTCTATACT